AGGCAGCGGCGGCTGCGGAGAAGGAGAGATTGCCTTCAGTCGCAGCTTGATTTAGCTAGCTGAGCTTGAGCTAAGCTAGCTTGGCTAGCTGCAGCATGCAGAGCACACACGGCTGGAGATCGGAGAAAATGCGTGAAAGGTTGCGGCGAGTGGATGACAGTTTGTTCGTCTCTCCATATGTCGTCTGTCTGCCTGTCTGTTGGTCTAGGTATCTGTCTGGCTGCGTTCCGGAAGGGCTGCAGGGGATTCAGGAGCGGAGGGTTGCCGAGAGGAGGGAGCCTCGGGACCATGTGGATGAGGGGGTCAGACGAAGAAGTTCCAGTCGCAGCTCCAGTTCCAGTTCCAGTTGCAGTTTCCAGGCCAGTCCATTTGTTGGTATCCTGAGGCGATCCGTCGAAGAAATGGAATCTTTGGGCTGTCTGCCTAGGATAGCGAGTGGATTCGAATGTTTTGGACATGGTCGAGTGAGAGGAGTCAACCGCAGTTGCTGAGCAGCAGCAGTGACTGTGAGCACGAGCCGAACATGGAGAATGTTCACGCGACAGGCATCGCGTCTCCAAAAAGGACGACACGCTGCCGCACAGAAACCTTCTTGTGCCTGGGATGCAAAGGAGAGGGAGACCAGACCACGCGGGTATTACCAGACCAAAAGACGCCTCTCAAAAAGGGGGAGGGGGGAGAGGTCATAGGTAGGCGTGCCCGTAATCAACAATTAAGGAGGGTATATGAGTGCGCCATGATGGAGCTGGGACGTCGTCAACATCGTCGACATTGTTCGTCGGCAGACGTGGTGGTGATGGTGGTGGTAATGATGGTGAGGGTGAGGGTGAGGGTGAGGGTGAGGGTGGTGCTGTTACTGCCGTTGCTGGTGGTGGCACGGAGCAAGCACGTTTGAAGTTGACTTTGAGCTGCCCGGCGGCGCAATATGATTTGTCGCTGAGGTAAGCATCTGCAGGGGGTTGTTTAGGGGGGGGGGGTGGGAGGGGTGCTGCACCTGCTGCAGCCTGCGGGTGTGTGGGCTGGTTGGTCTTGGCCTTGGTTTCTTCCTGTCCCGTTGTTCCGTTCCTGACGATAGTACGTACCCCCACTGGGCTCGTCCCCTCTCCCGTCTTTCTGCTTCTTGTGCGGCGTGCCGCGTGCCTCGTCAGACTCGGTGATGGATGCACCAGTGTGTGGATGATCGTGTGTGTGTGTATGGTGTGTCGTGCTGTAGGTATGGTGCGGCGTGCCTTGCAGACTGCAGTGTTGGCACGTCTACCTGCGAATATCCGTACTCTGCCCGCACTGAAGTTGTTCATCCATAGCTCATACGTGCCTGTTGCTCCAACCATCCATACTTTTCTTGAGCCTGAAAGTTACGAACGGATGGATGATGCGGATAATCATGATGGAAGTTCATCATTCTCTCATGCGATCCATCTCTCAAATCGACTGGCCAAACTTTGCGTCCTATTCGGTGCCGAACACTCTCAACATTCTCCGGTCTCGATCCCGTCTTGTCCTCCGATATGCTCCCGCTGGGCCCTCTAGGCCGCCTTCTCATCTTTTGGCCAGTTGTTGCCATGTCTTTGATCTCATCCGACTCTCGCCTCGTTCTCACCCTGTAGCGTAGCGTAGCGTCCTCTCCATTCCGCGGGTCACTGGCCATGTCCAGGCGTTGACAGTGACACATCGCGGTACACTAGATTGAGAACCACGGTACGCCATACGGAAAACCTGTCCGGCTTCTGATAGTGGGACACTACCCTCTTGTACAGCGTGTCGAAATCCCACCCACTCGCCGCTGACTCGTGGTCGTGACTCGCTGAATTTGGGTCCGGCCTACTGCAAGTCCACCGGGGACGCGGGGGCTGTGCCAGGGGTTGAGCAGGGGCAGAAGCTGTCTCAGATCTGTCGCAGAACGACACACCCTTGTCTCGCTTCAGCCCCTCGACTGGGTTGACCGTTGACCGCAGTCCCTCTCTTTGCGAGTCTGTCACTGTCGCCATCATCCCCGCCGGGACGACCTGCCTCTCGCATCTTTTGCTTTCTCCGCGCCTTTCGTATGTCTCTGGCCCGCCAGACCTCATCTCGACAATCTTGCCAGCTGCCAGAGGAAATCAATCGTGTTGCTGCGAAGAACACAAGGAAACGGCCATGTGCCGTCTCGTCTCGCGCAACGTCTTGATAAGAGGTTGCCAGTATGGAGGTGCTCGAAATTAGAATATGTTGCTAGATATCTTCGTGCGGCACTATCTCCCGCATCACCAAATAACTATTCCTCCCACACAGATCCGTAGTGCCTTGAACTCTAGCGATCCGTCGCCTGTCACCCCGTCTAAGATCGATCTGTCTAGCATCTGGATGCCCACCTCGTCTCATTTGCTTCCATACATAGCCGGCTGGCCCTGCATCTGCCACGCCACGCCTACAGCAGCTGCTCTCAAGTGCTGTCCGGCTTCATTCTAACCCTGTTCGCTTTCATTTGCACCTATACTTCATTTGCGAAGGCCATCAATCAGCTGTAGCACGCCCTGCTTGGTCCCAAGTCAGACATGTGCGGCGCTGTCCATGAGGTTCGTCCCCATCCACTGTTATTTCTTGAGAACTGTCCTCTTTGAGACTCTGCCAATATTTTAGCTTTGACGGAAATCAAATCAAGATGGACTCAAATTCAAATACGCCGCACAGATGATGGCGTTTGGGCTTTTGTATGAGACGTGAGACTTGTCCAGAACTGGTCATTTCAGGACGGAACCCAGTGTGAGCTCGGCTCAAGTCCACCTGCTTCGACGTGCCTTCTGTCCCGCATATCGTGACTTGTCCGTTTACTCAACCAATTCTTCTGGGTGCCGCAACTCAAACCTTTTTTCCCCCTTGACGTGTGTGCCTGCTGTACCCGTAGAGACAAGGTCGGTTTGGCTGTTCCGCCAAGAGGGTTCACCGGGGCTGGCGATCCAACACGTCTGACTACGCGACTGGCTGTTCCTCCTCTTTCCCCTCACATTCAACCCGAGTTGTCATTCATTAACACACCTGTTTGTGAGCCGCGCCCACCTCGCCGCCCGCAGCCTGTGATTCGCTCCATCGTCTGCTCTAGTGTGCACACAAAGTTCCCCCTCTAGGCACCTATACTACCACGATGGGCTGATGTGGATCATGGCCAAAGAGACTCGGGTTTGACAGCCATGGGTCGGGCTGAAAGCCGGCTGAAGACCAGCGTAAACGGGAAAAGGAACTTCGTGTTCCTGTATCTAAGAATCAGTCAAGAAAAGACCAATCATTCAGCAACTTACAGGCGACTTGGCGGCAATAACACGCGTCACGTTAATGCCTCTGGCCTTTGGTGCTCTATTCGTGTTGTTGGTGGAGAGTCGTTCATCCATATAATGGTCACCCGCTATAGCTCCTACAACCATGGATGTCCTTGATAGAACCCATAATGCTCTCGCCTAAGACGGTCGCCAGCTCCCGTCATCGCTATCCAGATTGCGGGCGCGACTTGACGCCCGGGGACCGCCATCCGGCACGGATTGTACACGCGTAAAGTGGCTCCCGCCTTCCATCATTCGTCGCTAGGAAGAAGGCCGTGTGCTGTTAAAGCTTGTTGAGTGAATTCGTTGGCGACAGTCTGCCCGCCGTAAATATTGACGTGGCGCTAACGACGCACATCGCTTGTCCGTCAAAAACTCTGTCGTAGGGCTCTGTGTGTTGTACAGCGTTAGTGAAACTTAGCGTTGCCTTCCTCAGTCGGGCAACGGTCGCGGGTCTCCATCTCGACGCCATCGTACGCCGTAGAGCATCTCGACAAACGACACTCCCGTTAGATCAGACGTGCGAATCTGAGAGCAATCACATACAAGGCCGTCTTTGACGATTTTGTCTGTGCGAAGATGCAACGTCTCGCGCCGGTGGCCTCCAAGAACCCCCAGTATCCGCTGGTCACCTTCTACCGAGCCTTCGATGAGTTGTTCTGTGGATCCTCCGGACTGGCCGCCGACAAGGAGTGGCTGTCCAGCTTGCATAATAACCTCGGACGTTTTGGGAAATTACGCCAACTCTCCAGCCGTGGCCGCTGTCTATAGCTCGGCTCTTATGGAGATCATAGACCAATGATGACGCGACTTTACCCCGCCATCGGTTGCTTGTCGACTTGTCTCGATACTGTGCACCAGACATCAGGCGGATCATTGGGGGAGGCTGACAAGATCACATCTGCAGCCGCAAGGGGAAAAGGGGCGGCGAACAGGGTAGCGATGAACTCTTTCCAGTACGCTATGTTAGTCGGCGTTTTATCAGTCTTATCGATGTGTTTGATGTTTACCATAGCTAGAACGATTCCAGCTCTCTGACGGGACGGCTAGGAAATAACGTGCTCGACAAGGTAGGAATTCCGGCTGACGTTAGTGCAAGTTTAGCAACAACGATGGCAACGACGGAAATAGAAGGTTGGAAGTGACATAGACTGTGTTGGCCTTCGGTCTTGGACGCGCTGTTGCCACATCGTGACCCGGGCAAGTCTCGGTTTCTCAAAAAGAAAGTAACTCAGGCAGAGCCACTAGCAGTGATCAGGGAGACAAATCGCGAAGCCGAAGAAACCTGCGCTAGCAAGTCTACTGGTGCGAGGTGTTAGAATGGATCAACCTGGGAAAGAGGTGAGTAAGGGTGAGGGGCCTAAAAAGCTAGGCGACTGATGCCTACAGTTGGAGACTGACAACATATCGCCAGCTGCACCTGGCCGAGATGGTGCAGAACAGCCGATGGCAAGGCTTCGAATCGATCCTCATCGAATCCACAAAGGGCTAGAGCTCAAAGTGATGGGCTTGTATTTGATAGTGTGAAGTTGATTGATACGGTGACACGAAAGACTCATGACTGACTATTCTAGTCTTTGTTGATTCTTCGCCAGACTTCTTGCTCGGCCGCAGCCAAACTGCCACCAGCAGCTTGCGCCCATTTCTTGGCAGTGTCCCATACTCCTTCTTCCGGTTGACTTTGATAGCCTTTTTCTGCCGATGATGTTACCGCAGCTTGGTGAGCAGCTCTTTGATGGCTACTGAATTCAGACGCACTAACGTCTTGCTGGTATCCTGGAGGGTGTTCAAGGCTGAGTGGAGGATCGCCTCCCAGTGGGACAGGTCGCGGCCCAGTCATCTGAGGTCCATTAGTAGTAGACGTGGAAGATCCTCGCAACACCGCGTGTGACATGGTTGGAGGAGGGATACCCATTTGTGGAGGGTAAGAAACGGTGGCAGTGGCGGGTGTTGGGGCTGGAGGCTGGTAGGTCTGGCCTGCCTTCGGCGGAGGAGGCAGAGTCGACGTGCCCGCTACCGGCACGGGGGCAGCACCTGGCTGGGGCGGCGGAGGACTGACATCATTCGTCTTCTGAGTTGGAGTTGGGCGCGGAGCAGGATATGCTTGTGCGGAAGCTGTCTGGACAGGGAGAGACGGGGCGGCGCCAGGCTGTGCCGGCGGGTATGGCTGCTGGCGGGTGGATGATGGTGCGGGTGCGCCGACTTGACTTTGCGATAACTCGGCGACGTTATGGGAATAGTCCTTGGCTTGTGGTTCCTCGGTCTGCGGAGTGGCTCCCGATGCCTTGGAGGCGTTGATCGGAGTGTCCTTGAAGATGGGAATGGCAGGCATGGCTGATGATGATGATGCTCTTGGCCAAGGTATGAGAGGGGGCTAAGCTGTGGGGTTTTGGCCTGCGAACGGTAGGAAATGTCTAGGCTATTGGAGGGTTTTAGTTGAAATTGGCGAGATCGCGAGCTTTCTCGGTGAGATGTGTCTGAAGTCGGCTCGGAGTCATGAAGCAAACGTGGCACAATGAGTGGTTTCCCATCTGGCAGGCGAAACCTTACGTGACGACGTCATTGCTTGGTGGTTGGGGCGATGTCAGGTGACTCAAGGCGAGGGACTGCCTACCATTTTGGTAGTCAAATGCCTTGACCTGAAAGGTGAGTGCGTAAGGCACCGATGGCCTAAGTAGACTCATTGCTGCCCTGGAAAGAAGAAGGGCGCATCGCCTTGAGAGGAGACAAAGTCATCATCGTAACTAGGTGAACAAAGAGAAAAGTAAACAATGGGCCACTAGGCACCTTACACTAAAGTCGATAGAGGAAGCTGCTGAATGTTGAAATCAAAGTCGTAGAAGCTGATGCAGCATCGCTTACGAAAAGCCACATCCTGGCAAAGAAATGCAATTGCAACGCGGAAACCTTCAATAAGTTGAACGGCTCCCGCCAAGGCTTCCGGGAGATGCTGGTGTCGAATCGTGTTGTTTGAAATCTTGATTCGGCGCAAGTCGTGTCAAGTTCATCCACTCAGTGATCGCTCATGCAAAACAAGCAACAGCTGAGCTGCAAAGCATCAAGCAACCAAACATCAAGGCCGAGTCCGAGCAACCCAGCTCATGACCAATGGTTTGCTGCTTCTGGAGCCGCAAAATGGTCTGCTACCGCGTAGTGCTTGGACCGTCCTGAGTCGCGAATCTAAGCTTCTTTGGACGAGAAAACGGAATCATATCGTTGATGACCTGACTTGACCTTAGCTGTGCCCAACTGTGCACTCAATGCAACGATCCCACAAGGATCGCCTGGTGACCATTATGCCAATGTGGTCAATAGAGCAGCTTGCACCAGACACACTTTGTGCCGCGCCAAGAAATGTGTTTATGTCGTAGAGTAGAGTCGAGACGTGACATGCGACGTGTCGACGTTGTTCATTTGGGCATACACCGCGCGAAGAAGGCACAGCGGCGGGACCTGACGGCATTGAGAACATTACATAATAGAGATTCCTCGGGCTTTTGTGCTTCCGCTCCAGCGTGCTGAGCCACAGGTCTTCCGTCTCATACCCCTTCGGAGATAATAACACCAGCCACATCTTTCTGCACGGGCCAGCGGGCTGCCAGACGCGATGGCTGGCTGCATGTAGGAGGCTGAGAGCTATCCGAACCTTGAGGCTGGCGATCCGTACTACTTTTCCGCTTGGAAACCCATAACACCAACGCCAGCTCACTCTCTGGCTCCAATTCCGTGGAGTAAGCCGACAGTATGGTAGGGAAAGTCAGTGAGAGGGTTCTCCTTCGGGAGGGTAAGTGGAAATGCTTTCATCCTTGAGGGCGGCTCGCTGACCGTGTATCATAGGCTTGGAGAGAACCGACAATGGAATGAAGCAGACCAGCTGGCCAGACGTCACACCGATCAATCAGAAGAATTATTACACGTACGTCTTCAATAACAGACTTCCTCGCACTTCTTCATCGCGGCGATGCTAACAATTCTCCGTTTAACAGGGATTATATGAAGCGCGATGACCAGATTCTCGCTTTGCGACTTCAAGGCGATGCCACCCGCGACAGAATCGTTCAAGCTGCTAAGGACAGAGATCGTGCTCTTGCGCAAAGCGGGCGCGCCGAGGTTCCTCTCGTTATACCCGAACTTCAGCCTGACGAAGCACCTGCCGATGCCAATGCCGGCCTCGATCCTTCCAAAGTCATCGTCATTCATCCTGGCAGTCAAAACCTCCGAATTGGGTTCGCCAGCGACGCACTTCCAAAATCAATCCCCATGACACTTGCGACAAAGTTCCCTCAGACCGAAGCGGAAATGCATGAAGCGCTCCCCCGGCGCCAATTCGAAGCAAAGACACAAGACCAACAATATGGCGAGGAGTGGTCAAAGAAATACACCAAAATGTGCAGCGATCTCAAGTTGGAGATGCGCGCAAACAAGCGCAAAGTTCTCCCCAACTCCAAGGAACTTGTCTTGAACTACAACCGTCGGACCGAGCCTGAAATTATTCAAACACACAACGACCCCCTCCAAATCGACTGGACCGATATCAACAATCTCGACGACCCCAAATCATCCGCGTCTTGTTTCATCGGGCATCAAGCGCAAAGAGTGCCAGACGATTCTCAACCTAAATTCAGGCTCTGGTGGCCCATTCAGCATGGACACATGAATGAGGATGAGTACCTGAACGCTGAACACATGTTTGACGATCTCGAGACCCTCCTCGACAAGGCAATCAGACAGGAGCTTGGCCTGACCAAGAACAGCACCTGGAGACAGTACAGCTGCGTCTTCGTCATCCCAGACCTCTACGACAAGAAGTATGTGGAGCAAGTGCTTCGATCTTGCATGACATGGTTCGAGTTCAACCGCGTATGTTTCATTCAGGAAGGCATGGCTGCTACGTTCGGTGCGGGCTACACTCAGGCCTGCGTCGTCGATGTCGGGGCGCAAAAGACATCTATCACCTGCGTTGAAGATGGCCTTTGCGTCGAAGACTCTCGGATCAACTTGAAATACGGGGGCTACGATGTGACGGAGACCTTTGTCAAGATGCTACTCTACGACAACTTCCCCTATCAAGACATCAATCTCAGGAGGCGACATGACTTTCTTCTGGCTGAGGAGCTCAAGATGAAGCACTGCACGATGGCGCAAGCGGACATTTCTGTCCAGTTATACCAGTTCCATCTGCGAGCCCCGAACCAACCGACGCACAAGTACCAATTCAAGACGTATGATGAGGTCATTCTAGCTCCTATGGGCTTCTATGATCCGGCCATTTTCGACAACAGCACCAAGATAAGAGGCCGGAGGAAGTTGCTTGACCGATCTTACAATGCATACGACGTGGATATCCCCGACGATCCGACATCAGCAGCCCAGTTTGGAATTCTGGCTCTCGTCAAGCCATCATTGAATTCTGCGTCTACCAATGGCTTTACCCAATCGCAGAACGATGTATCGACGCCGGTAAAGGAAAGGCTACAGCCGTTTGACTTCTTGAAGCGGGGCGAGAACGGCATCAACGGCACTCCATCTGGATCCAATGCTCCATCGCCAGCGCCGGAGGGTGTCAGCACGCCTGTGCCAGCCCCTTTCGTGTTTGGCGGAAGCAAGGAGGGCGTCAACGGAGGAAGCCCCGCCCCCCCCGTGAGGAATGGCGGTACACCGGGCCCGAACGGCACAGCTGTTCCACAGCCGCCCCCGGGCATGTTCGTTGACGCCTCTGCGCGCAGCGCCAAGGCCATAGCAATTGAACGCGACGGCGTTCTGCCCACTGCACCGTTGGATCTTGCTATTTTGACCAGCATTTACAACGCAGCCAAGGGTGACGACAAGAAGCTGCGTGATTACCTGGGCAGTATCATGGTCATCGGAGGTGGTTCGAAGACGCCCCAATTCACTGTCGTGCTAGAGGAGAAGCTCAAGGCACGGCGACCTGACCTCTTCGATCGCATTTTGGTCAGTCGAAGTGCCAGGGATATGGACGAGCAGGTTGTGACTTGGAAGGGGGCTAGCGTCTTCGCCAAACTCCCGGCCAACGACTCTTGGGTCACGCCCTTCGAGTTCGAACGACTGGGGGCTCGCGTGCTGCACCACAAGGTGCTCTGGTCATGGTAGATTGAAAGGACAACGGCAAAACATCTTAACGGAGGATGCGATCACGAGAAAGCAATGGAGTCGGGGAATGAACAATGGCACTCGGGAACTGGCATTTATGGAGGCAAAAGTCGTAAGGAACGTCTAGCAGCCACTGGCGTTTGGTGTCAAAACGAAAGACTACTTTCCGGAGTTAAACTTTTGGGGTATTGTGAGAAAGTGTATCGAAGTATCCGTAAAGTCGAGGCGATTGGTAGTCTCTCTCAAGTACTTGAGTTAAGTGAGCTTCATAAATCTAAACGTAGCACGCACTCACTGATCGGAATTATTAATGTCAGCGGCCACGGGGTCCGCACGGCAGCGGGTGTCCGGAAGCGTGTACACCGGTAATAATAAGGCGGTCATGACAAGGTCGTCGTTCTGGACTACCATTGAGGGGCTTATGTAAGGCGGCTCGACCGGAGTTTAGAGCAGCGAGCTCAGATCAGTCGATTCACGTGTACGAAGTATGATGCTCACCCAACGTCCCGCACCGGCACCCACTACCGCAGGTGCGCAGCTACCCACCCACTTCTTACCTTAATTCACGTCTCCCTTGTGATCAACAACAACAACAAACAAAACCGCCCAACGTTCCTAGCGTCTCCTCCGTCCGCCGCGAGATGTAAGCTTGGAGCTGAACGGTGGTCTGCGGCAAACAACGAGAATCAACTCAATTGCTCGACGGAATACCACGGCGCTCGACTTTTCTACCATGGCGGTTCTCTCCCGATACCTGCCCTTCTCCGAGGCAACTACTACGCTGCAAGCAGTGACATACCTTCTCGGCATATCTCTCTTTTCTATTTCCTTCCTCGTCTTCCTCAACAGCAGCATATCCTTCGTTATTACCGACCTAATTGGCGTCAAGGATGGCGTCGGCGACATTGTCGGCACCCTCGGCTTCGTAGACGAGCTCGTTGCTCTCGTCGCATGTCCGGTCTGGGGTCTCGTCTCGGATCGGCTCGGTGTGAGATGGGTGGCTGTCATCGGGTATGCCGTCATCGGCGCAGCATTGCTTCTTTTCGTCCAGGCAAAGAATGTCTATCCGCAGCTACTCCTGGCGCGCATCTTCTTCGCCATTGGTGCTACAGCGTCGTAAGTGACCAACAGAGGTCGAGAGCCGGCAGCAGGTGCTAATATACTTCCATCAGCGCCACCATGGTAACGGCTATTCTGCCTTCATTGACGGACGATGGCGACAATCCCGACAGCTCCGCGGACACTGCGAATAAACCGACACATAACCCCCGCAACAGTGTGGCCATGTCCCTCGAGTCCGACATGACAATCACCCCGGCGCGTTTCCATGGTTTCAGCGGAGACGGACAAACCGCGACAGCGAGTGAGAGAGAGGAGGCAAAGGCTGGAAGGCCTTCTTCATTGGCGGGCTACGTTGGGCTATTCACAGGATGTGGCGCGCTGGTTGCGCTTTCCCTGTTCCTCCCGCTTCCCGCCCGATTTGGGGAGATTGATGGCATCACGCCTGCCACAGCTGTCGCGGACAGCTTCTATGTAGTGGGCATCGTGGCATTTGTGATCTCGGTGTTTGTCTTCTTTGGGTTGAGAAACCTCAAGGGCGAGGAAGGCAAGGGCTGGAGTGTCTTGTTGGGTTTGAAGACGAACTTGGACTCGGAAGATGAGTCTGAAGAGAACGGGTCAGACCACCCAACACGGCCGGTACGTTACCTAGTGAATATTCCTGGAGAAATTGCTGACGTTTTCCAGAAGGTGCTCCCGTACTTTCGCCTCCTGCGCGACTCTGTGACTCTCGGTTTCACGGATTCTCAGATCGCTCTGGGGTACCTGGGCGGCTTTGTGGCTCGCGCATCCACTGTTGCCATTTCGCTCTTCATCCCCCTTTACATCAACACTTACTATATCAGTAACGGCTTCTGCCAGGGCTCCCCGCATGACCCCTCGCCAGAGCTGAAGAAGGAGTGCCGGGCCGCCTACCTTCTTTCGTCAATCCTGACCGGCGTGGCTCAGCTCTTTGGTCTCTTTGCCGCGCCTGCGTTCGGATACTTCAACAGAAGACGCGGTCGTGTCAACTACCCTATTCTCCTTGCGACTGCTTTCGGTATCGTCGGCTACATTATCCTGCCACAGTTGCAGAGCCCGGAATACAAGAACGTTGATGGCCGTGGCGGCAGCCCCGCCATTTTCCTAATCGTGATCCTAATCGGCATCAGCCAGATCGGTGCCATTGTCTGCAGTCTCGGTTTCCTTGGCCGTGGCGTCCTGACTGCAGATATCCCCAAGTCTCAGGTCATCGACACGGTCGAAGACTCGGCAGAAGCCATGGAGACTTCACCAGAGTCTGCGCCTCTATTACAACACAATGCTAGCGTGGATGCCGTGTCGCGAGTGCGGCTCAAGGGCTCCATCGCCGGCATGTACTCCTGGTTTGGAGGAGCAGCTATTTTGCTCCTTACCAAGCTAGGAGGCTACTTATTTGACGCGGTGTCTAACGGCGCCCCGTTTTACATGATGGCTTCCTTCAATGCCATCCTCTTCTTTGCCAGTCTGGGCATTGATGCTGCTCGTTTTTACAGGGACAAGCAGTGATGGTGTGACTTACGAAATACACGTATTGTTATCTTGATGTATCATTATTGTGTCTGTGAACTGTCTATTTATTTAAGAAACATATATATGCTGTGCGGTTGTCTCCCATGAGCCCAGCTATATATCTAATCCTGGTTTTGTGCAGATTGCAAAATACTACCTCCCGTTTCCACGAATCCTGATGTTCTACCGTGAAGCCCGCCTGTCCGAGTCGAAAACCCCTGATTGGACTAATTCGCATTCGTCTTCAGCCACTGTCTCCTCTACGATAGTATCGAGACCACTAGCTACGTCGACCTCATCTTTTGCACGCTGTCGCTGCTCCTCCTCGGCGGCCCGGATAGCCTTCCAATCGCTCATCCGGATCCAGGGGCGAGAACGGCGTTTAGCCCGCTGGAGTCTGTCCCAACCCTCCTCCTCCCTCTTGCGGCGCTCCGATTCCGCCAGCTTCAGGAGCTTCGGCGCAACCATGCTGACGACACAGAAGCAACAGAACCTGTAGATGAGTCTCTTTGCGAGCGAGGGGGGAGGGAACCGGGTGTCGTAGCTCTCTCCGGAACCGCTGCTCCAGAACCACTCGTCCACTCCGGCGGGTTTCGCGTCGTGGTACTCGTGATCTTCCGGAATCAACGACTTGTATACGAAGTCGTCTGGGGTTTCGTTCATGGGACCTATGTTGTCAACTGGTCGTTGGCGGGTAGTAGTAGCAGCAGAACCGGATGACGATGATTCTGACTCGGCTTCTGGCGCCGGGTTCCAGTCTGGTTCGGCGAGTGTCACTATCGCGCGGCCCTCGTCACCGCACTCTGAGCAGATGGAATGTGACGGCCGTGGTATGCGGCGTTTGAGCTTGTTAGTGGCGCGGCGGAGGTGGTGGGTAAAGGCGGCGGACTTGCCGGGCTTTTTGCCTGCGTCTTTGCGGGCTGGATTGCAGAGTGAGCATCGCTTGCTGACGGTCCAGGGTCCCTTTGAGTCGTCGCAGTTGTGGATGTAAGGAGACGTGTTCATTTGGAGAGGGCTGATACAGGGGCAAGGTATCAGCGAGGCCTGTGTAAGTGAATGTATTCGTCGTGGTCAGTGAGTCGAGTGTATCATGAGGAGGATGGTCGACAAGTCCAGTGGCTTTTGCAGTACCTTAGATGGGGGTTCTCAAGTGTTTCTATGTATTCATCAATGCTCGCATGGATCCGGACCGCAGGCCTGCTGCATTGTCTTTTGTAATGAGCCCATCAAAGACGTTGAGGACAAGTGCATTCTTGTATATTCGGTAACACAGTCACGGTGTTACATATCCCTCTGTATTGAACAGGAACATCGGTAGGCCAAGTCCTTTGTTTGAGGAAACAGATGATGCTTTATGGGTCCTCCATGACTTTCACGAGGGACCGTGGTTTTAAGCCTCAATGTTCCTTGCAAAGATTATGTGTTGAACATCAAGTCTCTTTATTGTGACAGACCAGTACCGTTTCTTAGCTTGTATTGAGGATCTGTTTCGCTACGAGGTCTTCACAATGTCGCCTTGCAAATCGAGTATTTTAAATTATCTGTCTTTCACTTATGTTCTATGTTCGAGGAATACAAAACGGACACGATTGGAGTTTAAAGAACGATTGATGAGAATCTTCTACGACATTACGTGTCTCTTCTACGATCTTCGAGGCGACACTTACTTGTTGATTGCCCAGAGCTTGCTGCGAATCTTACGGCATTGGACTAGGACCAAGATGATCGCATTTTGCATCCGTATTGTCGAGTTCCAAACTAAGGCTCCAGAGTCTTTGGCCACTACCCAAGCTTAGGTAAAGTGACCAAACCGGGAAATCATATTGGAAAGATCTGTGGCCACCGCAGTACAGAGAAAAAAATCTTCTTCCAAGCGCTACTGAAGAATCACGGGCTGAAGAAGTATGGCACGAGTATTGCCAAATGATGCTACAACTGTACGCTGGATCACTTATACACCGTTGGACCAGACTGACTGACACCTAAGATCTGTAGGCTTGAACCACTTGCATGTCAGGGCTCTTCTGTGATTGTGTCTTGAAAATCTACGTTGCATCTTGATAAGGACGGGCAAGTAAGTACCTCGAACCACTGGTTTCCAACAGCACATATCACACAGGGTCTCTCACGCAAAATCGACTTCTCTTCGCTTTTAACCAGATCGCTCCCGACGTTCCCAATGTTCCAAAAGTGGTCACTGGTACTCGATCTTTCAAGGTATTTTTTTCGTTATCCTCTTCGAGCCAGAAGAACTGATATATTGCTTCTGGATGGCGACTCATACAGGCGTTGCCCCCCGAAATAACAAAAACACAAAGAAAGAGAACGGACAGACTTCTTGTCCGAGATGGCGTTCCTTGGGAACGCCAGCAACGGGAATCGATTAATCCTTGCTACAATTATGTCCAGTAACGTCACGCTCACCCGCTACGGCTGGCTTCAACGTGTACGTATGGCGCTGGACGGCAAGTCGAGGACTCATGACACATAAAAGAACCCAACTCTCTGAATTCTTGTCCCCCAAGAAAACAAGCGCAAACAGCGGCTCTTCTTCCTTCGAACAAAGCGTGATTTAGCAGTGGATCAAAATTACTACAGCTGCCTTCTCCTCGAGAACTTGGCTATGCTACCGACCTACCATGACTTTAGAACAAACCTCAGAGTGTAGGGCCGCCAAGCGCACATGCTCGCCCTCCTTGTATCCCGGCCTGTTTATGGTTCCGTAGCGAATCCTAGCACTATTGAGATGCCGTGGGGCTTAGCTCACAGCCGCCACTTATTTGTGGATTTTCCCGGTATGCCCATGTGCTCCCTTGTCGTATGCTCCTTTCGTAGGATGTCCAGCATTATTGACAGCCCAGAGCACGTAGCATTTCAACCGCGTCGTAGTCCCAGTTTTAATCGTCTTCTAACTGCCCGCTCTGACGTATCTTCAACATCAATGACTTATTCGTCATGGAATACGATACAGCTATGGACTGTCGAACAATGTGCACTCTTACGTTGGAAAGCCGTCTCTTCCTCCCTTGCTAATTCCTCTTCTTAACTTGCGGAAAGCAACTATGTCGAGAAAACTAAAGACATCGTCGATGGGGCATTTTCTCCATGCTCGAACTGCTTGGACAGAAACGAGAGATTGAAGGCTGCCCATGTGCTTGAAACTGTGTCTTCAAGGCATGCTACTTATATCAATGGGAGGTTTAAAGACACAGCAGGTGAGCCCGTTACCACTTGCCACGGGCCATAAATAAGCCCTGCGGTCTATCATTGTCTAGGTAGTGTTATGTTCAACGAAAGATATTACGTCCGCAGGCTTGCTACCAGACCTCACGGAGTAGGTTGTCCCAAGGTGTCTTGCAGAGCTTTAGGCGCGTTCAATATCAGACACCTACCCTCCACCTCAAAAATATTTTACTAAGTTTTCAAGTACTGTAGTCACACTTCCCGCCTCGACTAAGTCCCATTCAATGTTGATTATTCCACGCATAGCCTGTGAACGATATACAAACCCAACGGCCGATATTCAAAAATTCATTTAACTCCAGGTCCTGAATTATTTATTTTTTGCAGCTTTGGTTCCCGCGCTACTAGCGAATAATAGCGTGTCGCTCTGGGTTGTCTTTCCGTCAGGTCGCAGCGTATTCACTCTGGAACACACACAACCGCAAAGCTGTGAGAGGGTATAGGGCCATATGTACGGGCTGATGCTGGCTTGTTTCCTACTTTCGGGGATAATTCCACGATTGCTACTCTTAACGCCGGACTTGAATCCCAAATTCTACACCTACAAGATATTCAAGAACTTCACGACTGCGTCCAACAATGTTCATGGTCTGGAGGAAACCTACTTTCCGCCCCTCCTCGCAAGTGATATAAATAGACACATCGATTCACATCATCTCCAGCCTCATCTGATAGTTGAACGTGAAGTAGGCGCAAATGTTTCTCTCTGAGATAGCGCCAGAAAACAGCTCAAACGTCGTCGATATCTCAGCGGCTCAACTGGCTGGTAGAACAAGAAACCTACCAGAGTTCAAGATCGTGGACCCCTTACACCATCAAAACAGTGCGCTTTTTTTATCTGGGGGTGACTCTTCTCAAGTGTCTACATACTGTTGAATTGTCAGGAAACACTTTTTCCATGATCCACTTGCAACGTACTTCATGATCTCCCCAGGGCGAGGACACCTGAAGACCAAACAAGCGCCGTCGATACCGCTGCCGATATCAACATCCATCGACTAGTCACTGATACCAATACGAGCGAGATCTCGCGTTCACAGAGTTGATTTGACGAGCCCAAGCTCTTCCGAAAATTAATGATCAACAGATCGATGAGGTAGATTCGTCGCGGAACGTAAAACATTGAGTGAAGAGAGCCAACTAGGCTTCTGGTAAACCAAGCTCTATGTTGATCTGTCAGCACCGAGTGGGAGCTACTGGGCTGATGGTCCGTGGATGAAGCTGCCCAACATGATGACCATCCCCAATCAGAGACACACAGACTGATGATCATGTCAGATGTATCCGGAAGAGATGTGACAGACAGGCACAAGGACTCCCTCTCAACAAAACAATATCCTCAGCCACTTACCTCGCTGTCACAAACACACAATGTTTGATCAAAACATTGCAAGACCGAGCCATCAGGTAACGCATGATAGTAGATGAGACATTTTACTCTCTTCTTTGAAAAAACCAATGCAAACGAGACCATTTTTGACTTTTTTGAACGATACCGTCCATGAGTACCTAGATAGAAAAAAGCCTTTCATTTATCGTGCAACGACCAGAAATCAGCCGGCCCAGTCCTCGGAAACCTTGACGCAACCAATCCTTCTGCAAATTTTCCCCGAAAACTGGTCCTTCCCTTCCGTTCTCCATCGTTGACTAGAGCCGGATATATGTGTCGGAGCACATTTTCTCAACCTATATGTGGGCGAATATAGGCGACCTATGGTGGGCATTTATTTGCCGCCGAGGCTGGGGAACGCAGACTCGTCCTTAGTGTTGATCTGCGCGCCCTGGGGACGGCCGCCGCGGGGGGCACCACCACGGGGGGCACCGCGGGCACCGTCGCCGCGTCCGCGACCGCCACGGTCACCACGGTCACCACCACGGGCACCGCCGCGAGGACCACCACGGCCACCACGGGGGCCACCGGCACCGCCGCGGGAAGAGCGCTCGGGCTCGACGTAACGCTGGTCGATATCCAGGAGCTGCTTGGTCTTGCGCTCACGCTCGCGCTTGGTCTTGCCTCCGGTGCCGATCATGAAGTTCTCATCGTCATCGCGGGAGACCTCCTTGGCAGAAGCCCACTCCTTCTTGAGCTTGGTGCCCTCGTTGGCCTCGCGGACCTTGGTGTTGCCCTCGATGGCGAGCTTCTTCTCGGCAAGCTGGGCGAGGTACTCGGTGTAGGAGACCTGCTTCTCCTCGGGCTCTTCGGGCTCAAGGGGAGCGGCGGCCTCGGCCTCAGCATCCTTAGCCTCAGCCTGGGCAATGGCCTCGCCGGCAACCTCGTCCTTGCGCTCAGCCTCACCCTCGGTGGCGCCCCAAGACTGGGCAGCCTGCTTCTCGGAGCCGCTGCGACGAGTAAGTACGTGAAGTGTTATGCGTGAATCGGTTCAAATTACCTGGCGAGACCCTTAGACTGGCGGTCATCACGCTCTCGGGGGAAACGTCCACCACGGCCTAATTGTGTTTGTTAGTACGCGAATGGTTCCAACCTTTCTCCACGCATGCGACGTCAAGGCATGGGGACGGCGGGATATCACGAACCTCCACGGGCGCGGGCACCGTAGCCGCCACGAGGGCCGCCTCTAGCAGGCTCGTCGGTGGTCTTGCCACGGTTGCGGTCGCTGCCAGCACCGCGGTCACGGAAGGCTAAGGGCGAAAGAAGCCTTGTCAGCGGGTCAAGGTCCAAAGCGGGGTCTGCATTCCCGAGGTCTGCAAATTGATGATGGAGCAGACTCACCAGCCTCGTTGCCAGAGGCGTTGTTGCGACGGGCACCACCGGCAGCAGGGGCACGGGAAGGGGCCTCGGGCTCGACGCCGCGCTTGGTTGAGCGCAGAGAGTTCTTCTCAACCGTCTTCACGGGCGCCTGAGGAGTATCATCCTCGGCATCGTTGCCTGTTGTGGGAGGTTAGGGCATTGGCTCATAGGTACGACTTGTCGGTTCGTTCATTCGGGGGACTCATACCGAGGAGCTCGAACAGGTTCTGTACAGGTAGGCTTGTTAGTTTTCATTGTCTTTGAAGCCCAAGGGCATGTATAGCAGGAGCGAAGCCAGAAAAATAGTCGAGCAAAACAACATGGAGAAGGAGGCCGCCGGCAAGGGCGATGACAAGGCCGACGAGGTCAACGCACAAACACACAACAACTCATTCGACAAACAACTGGCACCAAAATAAAACGCAAAACGACATCGAGAATAGAGACAGAAGTTCAGCTTACCTTGCTTGCGACCGACATCTTGTCGCCTGGATTGTGGTGTACAATAGCGACCTAGTCTAGGATGATGATTGGGGTAAGAGACAAGGTTAGAACACCATGACCTGGCGGTGGTGGTGATGCTCAATGGGGGGGTATGGGACCAATTGGTGCCGGTGCTCTGGTGATGTTACGGATGGGACCTGAGGTGAAGAAACTGCGCACGATGGGGCCACTGGGGTTCCGGGCGGGACAAATCAAAGCACCACACACAGCGCAAGAGAGGGAAGCGACGGGAAAGCACAGAGCAAATTAGGTCAGGCAGAAAGGGCACGCTGTGCTCCCTTCACCCAATGGCAGCCCGGAAATGGCTTCAGCACGGGCATTGCACACGCTGGGAGCAGAGCGCTGTGCCCTGTAGAAGGGGGGAAAGGGCACTGTCTTTTCCACCCAGCAAAGGGCGGTTTTGGTGTGAGATCATCGCTCTGCGTTCCCGGCTCGCTTAGCAATTCTTCTGACCTCCAATTTTGTGTGCCGTGCCTACCAATTTCAGTGTGAACAACCTGCCGTGTTTAGGGTTCTAGACGCGCCGGCCTCGTTTTTTCCCCCTCACCTTAGGTACCTCACCAAGTACCTTCTTACCTCACCTTTTGCCCATCACGCCGCTCAAACCTTGGTTCACCTTGCTAGCTCCCGTCGCGACGGCTTCGGCCAATCTGAGGTCCCGGTCTCCGGTCCCGAATCATTCGACTCAACCAAACTTCGCTCTAGCATAACCCAAAATTCCAGGTCTATTCTCCTTGCGCGAGGACCGAGAAAGTGAGAACCACTGTGAGGAAGAACAATCATGAAGGCGGGGCGGGATCCTCGGCACATCCTCTTCGTAAGGCAACCAATCGCTCCTTATCTTATGCCAGCCGGCGCCCCCGGCTCCGAAACGGGAACCAAACCGAGCGCCGAACTCTCTCATCCGTATTCGCTGCCGCTGTCGCTGTCGTTTATCGCTGCTGCCCGCTGCTGCCGCTGCTGCCAACAGTTCAACCGACATCGTCGGTTTCCAAAAATCCCAAGAGAGCATGACATGGTGCGGGGCAGGTTCAGAGTGGTCAATGAGGGAGCTCGGTGCCCCTCTCTGCCCTGACCTACCAGCTCTTGAAACCCATTTCTCGGTGTCGAAGCACACACACACCGTATTCACCCCGCCGCGAGATGCGAGCCAAGCCTCCTCGGTGGCTATCCGATGACGGCCAATGCCATCTGAGCGCGAAGCTCCACAAAGCTGGGGAAGACGGCGAACTCAATCCCCATTGGGACTGTTGTCGACTCGAGCAACGCTTGCAGACCGGGCTCACCACCTCGCAAGCTCGCAGCTGCCATGCCGGTGTACTCGGTGTGACGATGTCTGTACATTTTTACGTCGTGTACATCACATGCCCCTTTGATGTTGTGACATGTAGATATGTCCCAAGCTTGCAGTGATGTCAAGTCGTGTTACTCGCCGTACAAGACGCAACCTGGCATATTACTCCGCCGTTATGGTGAAGGACATTCAAAACTCACGGTGCAACATGACAGTGTGCCTTCGTACTGGCGGTAACAACTGCGAAATTCCAAGTCCTCCCTTGAAAAGATCCTTGAAAAGATCGACAACCTGGTCGAAATCCATCCTGTCAAGAACTTGACTCGGAATCGGATTCCGTCTCAGCCAAGGACCTTAAGGAACATCATGCCGTGACTCTTCGCATTATCTCCGAGCTGTGAGAGGAGAGGAAAAGAAGCCCAAGGCTCAAGAAGCAAACATATTGTTTGGGTAATCACTGAGGCTACTCGGACAGATGATCATCTACGACAGCATCAACCCCAGCAGCGGAATCTCAATACCGAGACATGATCAGAGAAAGAACCCTTGCGTGTCTTTGCCCTCGTCCACATCCATGGTTGCGAGTCTTACAGCCAGCCAGTCATGGTCTCCCCAAGTTCCTGCCCCTCACATGACATCCAACTCAAAGTTCCCAGCAACCCCAATACCACGTACATCACCCCCAAACTCAAAGACAACAATACAATCCTTGAACTGAAAGCATCGAATGACATCCCCCATCCCTTACCGATCATCAAGCCAAACACCAAAAAAACATTGGACTTATATCAAGAAAATCCAAAAGAACAAGCGCTAGTGATAACCAGCTCTCGTGCAGTGCCAACACTGTGGATCGAACACAGGATCCCCGCATTACAAGTGCGATGCCTTACCACTTGGCCATGCTGGCGAGTTGTGCGATGCAACGGCGAAGCCGCACAAGCCACTATCAATCTCTCTCCCAGAGTAGGCAGTCCCCTCCGTTGCCGCCGGCGGGTCATCGCGTCGGACCTCACCTCATTGCCCGCCTCCATACTCAGAAAGGGGTTTTCCTCAGGTCTCACTTCCCAGTTTCTTGGGTTTTTCGATCTGCGCTCGCCTACAAGGGCTTTCTCGCGTGCTGGATTCCATATGTTATACTTGAGATCACTTTGACTTTGAACTTTACCTCGGAAGTTCATTAGTATCCAATTTACCACGGTTTAGTATTACGCCACAGGCTGACTAGCTTCTATTTCAAGCGCAAGATCTAGTTCCCAAATAACCCACCTCGGTTAGATTGACGTGGAGGTCTTCTAGAACCCAAGATGATCTTCAATGACTGAAAATCTCCAGGAAATGACACAAGTTGAAAATTGGTGGTAGTGAAGGTAGGCATGGTCATGATGATAATACTGTCTCTGGGCACCGGGCTCACACAGTATATATATAGCACGCTGCCACAACTTATAGAGTGGTCACCGGTTGCTTAAAATGGCACTGGCGTTTCTATCACCTTTTCGAAAGCATCTTGAACAGAAATGAGTATGAACAGGAGCCGAGGCCCGATTATATTGAGAAGACTAGCCATTAAATACCGATAAGGTTTCAGCCATCTAAAGAGTGTAAAGTTGCCGCCAATGCCTTTTTTACTAAAAATCAAACTCCCCATCTATCACATCTACTCGTGAGCATCATCTCCGAGAGAACGAGCCGAGCAAGCTCTCTAGTAGCCGGTGCCGAAGGAGCCGCACTTGCTGGCCGCATAGGAGTTGCGGTTCTCAGAAAGGCAGTCAGTGTACTGCACAGTGCACTTGTTGATGGCGACGCTGAAGTTGTCCGAGAAGAACCAGCGCTTGGCGAACTCGGGAGCGCGGGCGTAGACGGCAGCGTCGTCACGGCGGCCGCGGCGGTTGTTCCAGGTCTTGCAGCCCTGGGCGTAGGTGTTCTGGCAAGCGTTGTATTGCTCCTTGCAGGCATCCTGGCAGACACTGGCGACGCTGCCGCGGCCAAAGGACTTGCAGAGCTTGGTGTCGGCCTGGAGGTAGAGCTTGAACTGGTTGCCGGCCTGGAAGTCAACGGCGATGTCGTTGCAGGTAACGATGGGGATCTCGATGCCACCGACGGGGTTGCCAGGGCCGTATCCGAACCACCAGCTGGAAGGCTGCTTGCAGACACCGGTAGGAGGAGGAGGGACGACGGTGACCGGGGTGGAGGTCGTGGTGGGCTTGGAGGGGCAAGGGAAGGTAGACACGGAAGTGGTACCGGGCTTGTAACCCTTGGGAGCCTTCTTTGCGAAGCAGTCCTTCTTGGAGCAGGATCCCTTGCCCTTGCAAGAGCTGGAGCAGTAGCTGCTGACGTCGCTGCACCAGGCCTTGAAGTCCATGCAGCTGGCAGAGCCGGGCCATCCAGCGTTCTTCAGGCAGGCACTGACCTGGAGCTTGCAGCTGTTGTGGGCCTTGGTGCAGCTGTCGTTGTCGTCAAAGTCGGGAAGGTTCTTGTTGCACCAGCTGCCGCAGCCATACTCGCAAGTGGCGGGAGTAACAATGGTGGTAGTGCAGACAGCGGGAGCAGTGGTGGTCGCAATGGTAGTGGGAGGCTTTGACGTGGTGACGGGAGGCTGAGAAGTCGTGACGGGAGCAGTGGTGGTGGAAGGAGGAGCCTGGTTAGAGACGGTGGTGGAGGTGGTGGAGGTGGTGGAGGTAGTCGGAGGAATGCTGATGGACGGGATAGTGGCCGAAGTGCTGATGGAAATGGTGGATGAAGATGAGACCGAGTTCACGGGAGGGACATATCCGCAGGGCTCAAGAGATTTGAGCTTGCTGGCGACGTAGATCTCCATAACGGCAGAGCCACCGCAGTTCTTGGTGCTGTCGCCGTTGCAAGGCTTGTTGCACTTGTCCATGGTAGTGGCGGTGGTGTAGTTGCCCATCACGACACCGCAGTAGCACTCGCCACCGTACTCAACACCGGCAAAGGCGTATCCCTCGCTGGCGCAAGCGGCGAGACAGGTGGAGGGAGTCATGGTGGCAGAGTCAACAGAGTCTTGGCGCTCAGCAATGGTACGGCCATGGTTGGTGTCGTCGGTGTAGCAGCCAATGGAGGTGTAGTCGTCGACGGTGGCACCGCCAGAGGGGAACGTGGGATCTTGCCAGACAGAGAAAGCCGAGGGACCACCGCAGGTCTCGGAGCTGTTGCCAGTGCACTGGTAGTTGCAAACGGACTCGTCGAGGGTAGGGCTGTTAATGGTAGCGCTGCAGTAGCAGACGCCGTAGTAGGTGAGACCGGCGTAGCGGTATCCATTACCTGTCCTCGTGTTAGGCTTTCGTGTCAAATATCAAGCATGGTCAGGACAGCTTACCCTTGCAGGCATCAACACATGTCTCGATGGTCATGTTCTGTTGGTTGAGACTGGAGCGGAAGTCAAGAGCATCCTCATTCTTGGTACCCTTATCCTTGAAACATCCCTGGTAGGTGAAGGGTTGGAACTCGTCGAGGCAAGGCGGCAGCTCGGTGGTGGTCGCGGTGACCTGGTTAAAGAGGGTGGCAGCTGCAAGAGCAGCGAGGGCCCGGATGATGGGAGCCATTGTGAACGATGGTGTATATTAGATATTAGAAAGAATGTAGTATCTCTTTGCAAGAAACGAGTGTGCAAGAGTGAGCGAATGTCTTCCCGGATTGGGTTGTGAGTGATGAGCTGAAA